TCTCACACTTTTGTAGCAACACACAGATCTGAAGATCAATTTGAGAAGTGTCAGAATTCCATACTCCAGCCTGCAGTGCACACACCTTCATTCATTCTACATTTGGCTGATGAGTCTGTTAGCTGCATTGGTATAGGCTCAGTTTGGGTTTATTGAGCTTCTTGTATATCTACAATGATTAATATAATGAAATACTGTTGGTCAGGGAAAATGTTATTGTTTTCTTTTCCTCCTAAATCAAAATGAAATCTATAAAATCATATATAGATACACTTTTTCTGTGTCTTGGCCCCTTCTAAGGTAAGAAAAGTATATGTTCTATCTGGACAGGAGGCCATTTTGGACCAAGTTGTTGTCTTTGATGACTATAGCCATGTACTGGGCAGCTGAGCCAACCATTCACAAAGCATACACTGATGTTTCTCCCTGTATTTAATTAACTATGTGTTCATTTATTTCCTGCTTTGGCAAATTCCACACACATTATAAATAAAGAATCAGGCCAGCAGTTACTTTTCCTCATCTGTTCTGCAAGAATGTTTTATAATCTATCAAACAAAGTGATTTAATAATTTAATAATAAGGCTCATTAATAAAACTGAATATGTCTGGACTTAATTTCTGGATTCAAACCTATTTGGTTCATAGGATTAATACTCTTTCCTTTATTTGTTACTATTTCCTAGCTTTGAGATGGGAGAATTACACTAGATATCCTTTGGATCCTTTGGTGAACTTGCAAAAACAAAACAAAAATCTCAGAGTAAAGTCTCAGGGTGTGGTGTAAAAGTGATATTAGCTCCAAGACATAGGATACATTACTTTCATTATTGACTTTCAGTTTGCAAGGCCTAAAGCTTCTCGCCCAAGCTCATTTCTGTTGTAAGCAGAAGTGAAGATACAAAAATAGTGCAGTAGAATCTGGAATGACCCCAGTGGTCATATTTACGTGAGGGATGGATCTAAATGATCTTATCTCCCAATTCTAAATTTTCACTGATACATACCAGGGGCATGATGGAAAACACCATGGGACTTTTAGGCTTAGTTCCACTTTTCCTTAGTTACTAATTTGACTAAATTAAGTTATTTCAAATTCAAAAGACTGGTTAAAAATGCATCTGTAATGCAACACTACACCCCACCCCCAGCCACTTTCCAGCAGACTGTTTAGTATAAAGGGGAGATAAATGGCCATGTTTTATCTTTGGCTATAGCTCAGAATATTCAGCAGGAAAGCTTACATGTGTGCATTTAAAACTGCTGGCTATCTTTAGAGGAGACCATAAGAATGTTGCTAGGGACTAGAAAGAGCAGACAGACAGACAGAGATGGAGAATCCGAGAGAAAGAGAGAGAGAGAGAGAGAGAGAGAGAGAGAGAGAGAGAGAGAGAGACTGAGAAGGGTAAGGAGAAAGAAATGGGAAGAGGAGGTGGAGGAAGAGGAAGGACTTTAAGATCCTGGTCAGATACAGTGCTGGGAATGCTGTCTTCTCTGGTTTAAAAGAAGTATAGCCAAAGGTTGAAATAGAAAAAGAAATGCTCACTACTGGTCTATGAAAAGGAATTTTGTTTAAGAGTTTAAACTGACCGAAAATAGTGGGACCTTTTCTTTTTAGACATCAAGTCAGACAGAAAGGCCAATAAGGAAGCAGATGTGTTAGAGTGGAAATAAGCATTGCACAGACCAAAGGCAGTGCTAGTGAACCTGTGCTGGGTTGGTTCATGACTAAGTCCTTCTTTGTCTCCAATCTATGAATTAATGGTCCTTTCAGAAGCTAACATATGACAGTCATCCTACTGCAATGATACTTGCTTAACATCAATGTGTGTATGCACACACATGCACACATGATATTTAATTTGTTTATAAGGTATGTATGTTTTTAATTTTAAGACTTTAATTTAAAAGTATGTGGGTGAATGATATCATGGTATAAAATTGAGTTATCATTTCCCAAGATGATCAAACTCACCAATTTATTAGAAAGGTAATTCTGCTAGAAGCTGGTAGAATTATAATCTAATGGTAAACAAAAGTCATAGTCTAATGCTAAGAGAAAATAAAAGAATATAGTAAGTGGAGACATAATTATTTCATTAATGAATAAGATACAGATGCTTTCTAACATTGTAGCTGTCAGCAAGAGGTTAGTAAAACAGCTTATAGGGGTGAGAGTTTATTTTAGAAACTTCCATCAGAAATCAATATGATAGAAATAAACACTTCTTGTGTTGCCTATAGAACTAAGTTTCTGTTTCCTGGAAAATTTGTCTCTGTGTTGCATAGTTTGTTCTTTGTGTTTCAGGATTCTTTCCATGTATGGATGATTAGTTCTTTGTGTTGCAGATTTCCTTCTATCAGTTTGTAGCAATTGTGTTTCTAATAGGAGGATTTGAAACTTGTGGAAAGCCAAAGGTTTTGTTGTTGTTGTTGTTTTGTTTTGTTTTCTGTTAAAACCTCTGTGTTGCTGTGAGGATGGATCTCTTCTTTTGAAGAATCAATACAAGGAGATTGAAGTGCATCCCATCTCAAGTGATGTGGCGGGTGGTGTCCTGTGGCAAGCGATAATCATACTTGACTCATAGATGAAGGTACTTCTTAGAAATCTGTATTTTTGGTACTTTTTTGGCATTTAGCCTTCTGCATTTTCTTTTTAGAATTTTAATTTCTTTGTCATTAGGGAAAGTAACATTTATACATTGGGGTTGATAGTTTTATTCTTTTCTTCTACACTCATCCTCACCTTTGAAACAGTAGCTTTTAGTTTTCCTTGATTCCAATTATTCCACAACTGCTACATGGTTAAGTTCTGTTTCCATTACATTGTCCTCCCTCCCTCCCTCCCTCCCTCCCTCCCTCCCTCCCTCCCTCCCTCTCTCCCTCTCCCCCCCCCACCACACAAATATCACAGGAAAGAGAGGTGACTTAAAAGTGCAGCATAGAGAGAGGGAGAGAGAGGGGATAAGAGAGAGGATAACAAAGGCAGTCTCTCTTATTATCTCTCTCCCTCCCTCTCCCACTCTCCCTCCCTCCCTCCCTCCATCCCTTTCTCACTCTCTCTCCTCTTCATGTTCGTGGTTGTGTGTATGCATGGTGGAGGTCAGAGGGTCTTTCCAGTTTTGGAGCTCACACGTCATCACACAGAATAGGGAATTGTAAGAGTCCACAACTATGACCACTTTTTCTGAAATGAGCTCCGTGTATTGAACTAAAGTTGTTCTTTGCTAAACAAGCATGTTATGACTGTGTGACCTCCAAAACAAGCATGTTATGACTGCATGACCTCCATCTCACTCTCCTTAGTGCCCCTCCTCTTTCCTTCTTTTCTAGAGGTGCTGAGGATTGAACCCAGGTCTCCATGCATGCTCAACAATTACTCTTCCACTGAGCTACATTTCTGACCATTATTCTTTAAAACCTTTTTATTGATTCTTTGTGAGTTTCACATCACACACCCTAGTCCCGCTCATCTCCCTGTCCTCCTATATCCAACCTTCACCCTTGCAACATCCCTCACAAAATAAAAAAACACACAAGCAAGCAGACAAACAACAACACATCAACAAAGCATAGAAAACATCTCATTGTGGAAGCAGTAGTATGTCACAGTGTGTCCCACAGTATATCTCTCTGCCCTCACAGCTTTACTTGAAAATGTTCATTGCAGTGAGTCACTGGTCTGGTTCGAGGTCTCTGGCTTCTGTGACACCATCAATTGTGGATCCTCATCAGGACTTCTCTCCGTTATCCTGTTGCTGCCCTGTGTCACGGAAATCCTGCAGCTTTGGATCAGCAGGACTTTAACACATCCTGTTTGCAAATGCTATAGATTTGGGGGAAGGACAATTCAGAGCCCTGGATCTGAGTCTGGGTGATAGCTTAGCTAGTCAGCTCACTAAACTGTCCCTTATCCACACCACAGGTTGAGCTCTCCAGCACTGCTCTGGTGAGGCCACTTAATACAGGAGACAGGGGCAGCTCTCTTGATCTCATGCCCTTGGGGCTGGCTTACCTGCACCCTATCTATCAAAGCCAGCTCCACTGTACCGCCCAGTCAAGGTTCTGGACCCATTTTCCTGAGTGCTGCAGCCAGTGGGTGGCAGGGCCAGCTCACTTGCTCTCTTGACCTCAGGTCCGGTTCTCCCCACTGCTGCAGGTGGGGGCTGAGAATCACACCTGTGCCCGCACCACCTCACAGCAGACTAGTATTGGGGCCATTTTTCCCTTGCTCTGTCCTGGAGGCTGGCTCACCCACTCCCCCTGGGCTAGTACTACTGTGCTGATCAGACAAGGTTCAGAGCCTGCTCTCCCAAGTGCCAAAGTTGATGAAGATAGGGGCTAGCATTCCAAAGCTCATGACCTGTGGGCAGCTTTCCTGACTGATGGAGGTGGCATCACCTCTGTGCCTGTGCCACACAGCACACAAATGACAGGGTCAGCTCTGCCACACTCATGCACTCTGGGCTAGCTTACCTATACCACCATCTCCACTGTGTTGACTGGGCAAGGCTCAGGGCCAGCTCTCAAGAGCTCAGCAGCCAGGAAGGGGTGGGACCAGTTCTGCACAGCCTCTCGACATTCACATAGTCTCTGACTCAGGGACATTCCCATGCTCTCAAGTTGTAATATGAGCTACAGACATGGACAGCAACCCCTGCTGCTTTGTAGCCATGGAGTGCATGGCCATCAGTGGCAGCTTGGGGTGGGGCCCTCACCATGGCCTCAGGTGTCAGGGTTGGCCACTCATAACAGGCTAGTCCTCTCCACCTTTGAGGCTCCAGTTCCATCTCTCTTCATAACACTCAAGCTGCTCCACTCCTCTTTCTCTCCCATCTGACCACCACATACTCCCTCATTGTGGTGGCTCCCAATGAAGGCTAGCCACAGGGGCTATTGGGCCTCTGTCTATGCCATGCAACAAGCCTGGGGTGGCATGGCAGTCCATAGGTCTCTGTCTTCCTTCTCCTGTACTATGCTGCCTGGATTTGATTTGACTTTTATGTGTCCTAGTCATAAGAGAGTTTTGGCCACTAAGCCAAGCATCAAGCTAGGATGAACAAAGGACTGCCATCTGCTCTGCCCCTGACTGATATAAGAACACCACTACCAAGAAGGTGTCTCTTGGCCCATTGCCAGGACAGGAGTGTCTTCTTATTTTTCTTTAAGTGCTATTTCATGCTATCACATATGCTACAGTCTCATGTGATTCACAGTGAGTGTAATGTACATGTTCTATAGTAGCTGTGGTCAGCTGCCAATGAGGTCTCTTCAGAACCTCTGTTCTATGCTGATAAACTCTGACAGACTTGCAAACAAGATTTTGTTAAGTTTTATGTGTTTAAACAGGGTTTTCACTTATACATGACTTATTCATTATACATGACTTATTCATGACTGGATTCTGGGTCCACACTGCCTGCTCTTAATGCATGTCTCTCCTTTTTTTCCTCCCACAGTGACTGGAAGAATGGGAAACACAGTTATAACTTTTAGCTTTCTGGGAATTGGAGACTTCATTTGCATAGGTTGTCAGGGAAAGGTGACAGGGTTCAGACTGGAATGAAATGTTTGATCCTGCCAGGGAATTTTTCCTTCTGTAGAAATCTTATGTTTTGAGGCCTAATTATAAACTCTATTGTAAAAAGTTATTATGTTTCCTGTTAGTGTCATGTCTTGGCTGCCAGTTTGAATTAGTAATAACAATGAAAATACACAATAAGGCATGGCTCTTGTTAACTTGGAAAATTAGCACAATCATGTGATATCTTTCTAGGGACAGTGACTATGCTAAACTTTGTATTTGAAAATAATTGAAGTTAATTTTGTACACAGCCTTCAAGATACCCATGTTAGTGTTTTTAAACAGCTAATTGCATAATAAAAGGAAGCAATGAGGGAAATTGTAATGGCAAATCAATCTGAATGAATGACAAAAAATCTGTGAGTATGTTACTATTGTGAAAAGAGGGGTTTCTTTCTATCAATTCAATGCTTTGTTCTGCATAAGCATTTTAAAGCATTTATTAGATGATTGGTCATTATTGTTAGAAACAGAAGTTAGGTATAAGTAAGAGCTTAATATGTGTATTTAATTCATGTTTTCTTAGAGTCTTTATTAATAATTTTTTAAGGGACTACATTTAATAGACAACTTATTTCCTATTACAGATATCTGAACTGCTTTTATTAAAAATTCTGTTCTAAACAAGGGTAAAATGTACATCCTACATCAAAGCTATTGCTGACATATTAAAGGGAAACAAAGTAAGAAGGAAAGGAGAGACAGCAAAAGGAAATGAAGGAGGGAAACACGTGGGACCCTGTGGACAACAGAGCTGTGATGCTAGGATCTGGGCTTGAATACATTCATTGGATTCATAAACATCCGCAGCGGAAAGGCCCAAGCACAATGAATACTTCTAGGCCTTTCTTGTAAACGTATGGCCAAACTCTCAGGTTGATGCACACTTACAGCAGAGATTGAAATTCAGCCAGGAGCACAAAGCTCTTTCTTCCAAGCAAGAAGAGCTGGATTTGGTGGTTTCCAGCAGGACAGATTTTCTGATTAACTTTGCAGAGATTCGAGTAGTTAGTGGATTTCTAAATTACTATTAGAACAAATTGTTGTCTTGGGTATCTATCTGATATATTCCTGCATTCATTTGACAATTTTTATTTGGCTGGTCAAATCTTTTTTAAAAGTCTATAAAAAATGCTCAGGTTTGACTTTCTCATAATAAATTCTGAACTTGCAGAAACAAGTTAATGAGATTTCTTTTTTTTTTTTTTGAAGTGGTACATTATAATTTTTAATGTTTTTCTTAAAATGTGGGCTTAAAGTTGAATTAATACTCCAGACAGAATTAATGCACAACAGATTTCTGTTTCTGTGTGCTAAATCTTAACTATCATGTGCCAACTTTGTGAGTACCTCTGTGTTTAGCTTTTCGTGATTTTTAGCTTTTTGAGTTTTTAGCTTTTTGTGATTTTTAGCTTTTTGAGTTTTCAGTATTGGGAATCAATTTGGCATGCTAACTGTAAATGTCTCTTTTAGCATTAAATTAAACATTTATCATTAAAATGTGATGATCTTAAATTTCATTCATCTATGGATCATCATTTAAATAAAAGGCCTACAGTTGTGGCATGACTGCAGCTTTCTTTTCCTCATTAACTATTGTGATTGTGTTGTTGAAGTCAAGCTGGACATTAGATATTGAGACAAAACTTTTTTCAATTTTTTTGACTTCTCATGTTGGTGAGACAGAGGGTTAATACTACCTGATGCTGTCCTTGCACGGAAAACTTGTGTGATCCATAATTCTGTACACCTTAGCATGTATTCCAGAATGAGCAGCTAACAATAGAGCCGCTAACCGCTCATGAATAGTGTATATCTTCCTGTCCACCAGGAGCCTCATTTTTCCTTTTAAAATTAATTCAAGAGGTAATTAAAGGCTGAGGAGTTAAGGTCGCTTTCTTTGACTGAAATCATTTCGTATGAGAAGTCAGAATGAGAAAGGAAGGCACTCCTCCTTGAAATGAGAGGCACAGTACAGGGCCCGGCGGGCAAAGCTGCTCTCACCTGTGCTCATTTGCGTTCAGAGATGGTGCAGTGTTTAGATTTTTTATTTTCTTAAGCAATTTGCATTTGCCAGAAAGAAAACTATGCAAATATCTGTAAATCTCCAACCTACTTCCTCGTGCTGTCTATGTTCAAACTGAGCCTCCTAGATTGCAGAGTCCTTGGGGTAATACAGTTGACGCCTGAGCTCTCTGCGTTGAGAAACAGAGGCTCTTGCTATTAGCATTAACCTACCAATTAACATTGGCATTCCTAAGACCTTTTTTAAAAAAAAAAACTAATTGATTTTAAGGACTGGTTGAATGACAGCGCCAACTACCTGATACAGTTAAGACATATTTTAAAATATCAAATATTGAAAGTTTAAATCATACTGGCACATTTACAAGTAGTTCATGTTTGTGTTATTTCAAATTGATACAAATGTAGACTCTTTTAAGTCCAATGCATCAAAAACATATATAACAAATAATGAGTGTTCAGATATATTACCACTAGTAAATAGTTGCCTGTCCAGTTATGTGAACAGTCTGCCTCACACTTTTGTGATCAAAATATAGAGAATATGACAATACACTGTGCTGAATCCAAGGAGTTATGTCATAGGAACAGCTAGTGGGGGTCAGAACAAGAGGCATGGCTGCTCTGGTGTAGTGCCAAAACATTTTTCTGAAGGGCTGATGCTTGCCCAGAAGGTGATTCCTTTGGCTAGAGGACCTTTAGAGGCCCTGTCAGTTCAACAAGCACTGACTATACAAAGTCTCCATTTAAAGTGGTTTATCCTTTCTTTCTCTTTCTTTCTTTCTTTCTTTCTTTCTTTCTTTCTTTCTTTCTTTCTTTCTCTTTCTTTCTTTTTTTTTTTGGGTTTCTCTATGTAGCTCTGGATGTCCTGGAACTCACTCCGTAGACCAGCCTAGCCTCAAACTCAGAAATCTGCCTGCTTCTGCCTCCCAAGTGCTGGGATTAAAGGCATGCACCACCACTGCCCGGCTTAAAGTGGTTTATCGAATAAACTTTAGTGCAGTGTCATGATCTGAAAGCCCTCACCAGCCTAGGAAACAGATAACTTCCAAGACTTCTGGTAATTGTAGTTCCTGGAAAATAACAAAGCCTCATGGAAAACTATAGTGGCCTACAGGTTTGTCCTTAAAAGCCCCTGCAGCACCTGGCTCAAGGCCATTAGTTGGGAAATTCCAGATAATGGAACTGACCAAATCCATCTTTTTGTTAGTATTTAATATTTAATAAAGCTTGCTTTCAATTTGGCCCAATGGTGGATTGGCTTTCTCCAGCAAATCTCAGGATTAATACTTTCCTCTTTGATCTCATCCTAATTGCTTTTTCTATAAGTGAGCGTTAGTGGCCTGCAGTCTTGTGAAAGTATGATGCCTAACTTGAGCTCATCCAGGATGTGGAAAGCTAGCTCCTAGGAAACCAGTTCAAGGGCTAGCAGCAATTCCATAAAAGACAAAGTTCTGTGGCCAGACTCGGAGCACACATCTGCATTTGGGGATTTTAGCAAAGGGTGCTTAGAAGAAACATCTCACTGAATCTTCAAAAGATTGGATCTGTTTGGAAAAGGAGGAGGGGATGTTGAGGGTCAGAAATGATTGTCAGTGAATGTGAGTGACCCTCCAGTGAACTGTGAAGGTATCAAGGTAGTTTGAGGACAGACTTTGGGCATCTGCTTCAACTGTATTCAGATGCACTCTAATTGTAAATTTCCAAGTGAAAGAGCAAGCTGTCTCTGAATATATATGTTCATATATGTTCTTTAGAGTACTTGATACTTGGTAAAATGGTTTGAAACAGTATCAGTGTATGATAGTATGCTTTATTCAACCAGAGGACTACAGTGTTCAGTTTTGGAACCATGTTTATTTCATAGGACATTTTGAGTTATTAACAATAAGCTGTAATTACCATTAACATATTTAACTTACCACCATAATGTATGCTTTTGTGCTTTGAATATTTTTAGTCTCTACATGAAAGATTAAGAAATGTTAGTATTATCATTATTTCCTATATTTTCATAGTTACAGACACTATCAATATTTGCTTTACAAATGTATTTTCCTTCAGTTTTATTTTTCCCTCTGAATATGGGAACTATATTTGGTATAATGAAATATTGATTTTCATACACCTCAGTGTCTGAGCCTGACCTTATTTTCTAACTTTGAATACAAAGGAAATTCTAATTTTGTTATTAGGCAAAGCTAAAGTAAAATCTTAGAAAAACAGTATAACACTGAGGCCATAATAAACCATAACTGTGGGCTTATTTGGCCAACAACAGTGACTACAGTAGCACTTTGGTTGTTTTAATGAATTTATTGTACTTTTTAGTAAATTATGACAGTAACAGCTTCCACTTAAGCCTTCTTAATCAGTGAGCCTGACTATATGCCTTGCCTTGACCAATAGACTATTAGCAAAGTATTGCATGGGTAGCACTGACAAATTCTTTAGCACAGGGATTGTTTTCATGGCTGGATTCAAAACAAGTATTTTGTCAAAGAATCCCCCTGCTAACTGTGAGAGCCCCACAG